GAAACAGTTTTTGGAGATACTTGACAGATAGGACACTTCATCTTTCCCAGATTCTGTCTTTACGTATATAGTTCTGGGAATCCATCAGCTGATAGTTTCTAAAAGCAATTCTTTTTTTCAGGACTTTCAGAAGTAGGAAAATCCAGTAGCTCAGCCATGATAGCCCATGCCATAAAGCTCCCAGTTTACGGTCTTTGTGCTATGGTTTGGAACTCTGATTCAGTAGAGTGGTGGCAAATTTTACGCCAATGTCCCTCAGAACTGGGCAAGCCCACTCTGTCAAACACTTCTGCCTCCTTGGATGTGTCATCACTTACAGTTGATCAAAGAATATCTAAGAGGGGAGTGAGCTTTTTAGAACGGCTCACAGTTTCTCAAATGTTTGTAAGTAAAACTGTATGGCTACTGTAGGTGCTTGATTTTACACACCTGTGGCAATGTGCTGTGCTTACAATATCATACATTAATTGAAATAAAACTAATAATAATACCAGTGTGGAGGAACTCTGAGGCAAAACAACTGGAAAAGGCTCATTAAAATAACTCAAGTGTGATGTGAACTAAAAACTGGGCGGAAAGATGTTTGTCAGATATACATTTGCTATGCTGGTGAAATTGAATGTTAAGAGCTTTTGGGAGAGTATTTATCTTTACTAATGAACATGATGAACGAGTCAACACTTGGAATATCCTTTTAATCCTGTGAGCAGACTTAAGATGCTTTCAATGTTTAAGCCAAAAAGTACATTTAAGGTAAAACCCTTACATGATGTTTTAACTTTGGGAAAACGTGTTGAGTTATGCGTAGGACAACTTTGACTCCTTCTAACGGCATCGGCAATGGTAAGGGTGAAACATCAGTTGAGTCCAGTCAAACTTCCTCTTTTCATTCACTCATGTTACATTTATATCCCAGGTGTTGATTCAAGTAGAATTTATCTGAGGCACTACATGCAGTAACCCCCACTGACTGGCCGATTAAACCAACTGCAAAGCATCAGACTTGGGTGGAACTGTAACTGATTGATGTTGGCTTTCAAGTTTATTTTGACTGTAATATCACTGGGACACGAAAGGAGGTGGAGGTACTAACTGTGATTAAGGATTATATGAATCACTCAGATCTCGAATTCCTCCAGAGGAGGAAAGACTTTTCCACTCCCTCCCTTCCACAGCCACTCATGGGGTACAGTACATTGAAAAGAAAAGGCCTGCAGCTCATATAGACATAAAGCTGCAATGTTGATATTAAAACATCAAACTCAGGACACAAATCTAAAGTTAGTGCAGGGCAATCTCCACACATCATATGCACAATTATTTTGACTTCTCTGCCAATTTAACTTCTATCACTGCATTAGAGAATGCTTCCAAATAACAAGACAAAGCAAAAAAGTATGATAACTAAAAATTAAATAACACATCTTATGCATAAATCCCTTTTTAATATCATAGTTTTTTATTACTACATTTTATATTGTTGTTGTTGTTGTTGTTGTTGTTGTTTTTAACTTTTCAATTTCAACAAATCTGCAATTTTTGCAGCATGCAGAACTTCCTGATTTTGGCTTTCGGCTTAATGCAGTATTCTCCCCGACAGACTGAGTAGCACATGAACTATCATTGCCATCTACATATTTGCACTTTTTTGGCAAAAAAAAAAAATCCCCTCAGTTTATCACAACAAAAGTAATTTCACTGTGCTTTATATTTTAAAGTAATCCCTCAACATTAAAAATAAAAGCTCAAAGACCTCTATGAGCAAGCGTTTGGAGACAAAGAATTAGAAAAAAGACCTTTAGTCTCATGAGGGTGACCATCTGCCTGGATCCGTAGGGGTAAGGGGAAAGGGAAAAGAGGAAACACAAAGAACTGACATACAACAAAGAGGACAAAAAAACAAACTATGAGAGATAATAACACAAAGTTAATATAATATGCACTAGTGCAGGGGTCGGCAACCCGCGGCTCCGGAGCCGCATGCGGCTCTTTAGT